GGGGTACGGTCCCACACACACACTGACTCTTACCGGAGTACAGTTCCACACACACTTACTCTCACTGGGGTACAGTCACACACACACACTGACTCTCCCTGGGGTATGGTCCCACACACATTGACTCTCTGATACTTGCCCACTGTTATCAGTTCAGCGTCGGAGAGGTGGGCCTGCGTGTTGGACGGTCTGCATTGTGGCAACTCCCACTGCTATAATGGGCCCATTCCCCCTCTTTGCTTGGGAAGCTTGTCTTCAGGAGCATCCATGGAGATTGGCAGGACTTTCTGGGCAAGCCCCTTTGAGCCAGCATTGGAGTCAAGTGTTCACTTTGTGTCTGGGCAATGGGAGTGCCCATTGGTGAACTCTGACCTTGGGCCTTGCTCAAACATTGCTGCTCTCTGTATTTACAACAAAAACACAAAACCCAAAAGCATCACTTGTCCTGCAATGGACAAAATGCACAGCAATTAAAGTTGGCCTCTTGTTCGGGCCTCTGACAGAGTTATGGAAGTTTCTTTCACTGCAAGTATCGGTAAATCTTGAAGCAGTGATTCCCCGAGTCAGCAACAGCCACGTGTCCATCTGAGGTCAGTGCCAGACCCTGTGGTCCATATAGAGGGTCAGCAGAGGTGTTAATATAAGACAGGAAGGATCCAGAGCTATCAAACACCTGTGGAAAGAGAGACAGAGAGAGAAGAGTGAGAGCGGGGAGCAAGATAGACACACTGACAGAGAGGGATGATGGGGGGGGAGACGAGAGAAACACAGAAGGAGAGCGAGAGTATTATGAAATGAGAAATGACTAATTGTCAGTCTAGCTATGTGAGGCAACGTGGGAATGAGCAACCAGAATATGACAGAATTCCTCATTGAAATGGAGGGTGAGGTAGATGACTCTGAGACCAGGGTCCTGAATCTAAACAGAGGAAACCATGCTGGTGCAAGATGTGAGTTCGTGATCATGCACTAAAGCTCCCTCTACATTGCCCCCTCAAGAAATACACCAGGATAGGTACAGCAGGGGGTAGAGACAGAGTACAGCTCCCTCTGCACTGTCCCTGATCAAACAATCCCACAATAGGGACAGTTCAGGGTTAGGTATAGAGTAAAGCTCCCTCTACACTATTAAACACTCCCAGGACAGGGACAGCACAGGGTTAGATACAGAGTAAAGCCTCCGCTACACTGTCCTCCTCAAACACTCCCAGGACAGGGACAGCACAGGGTTAGGTACAGAGTAAAGCTCCCGCTACACTATCCCCATCAAACACTCGCAGGACAGGGGCAATACAGGGTTAGATCCAGTTTGTTGCTCACCTGTATTCGGCTGTTTCCCCAGTCAGCGACAATGATGTTCCCATTGGTATCAACTGCCACCCCGGTGGGAGCATTGAACTGTCCGTTCCCCTCTCCATGCGATCCAAACTTGAACAGGAATTCACCATCAGAATTATAAACCTGCCGAGATCAGAAATGCAGGGTCAATGTTCCCGGCCTCGAAACAGCCTGTCAAGAGGCAGCGTGTGCAGCACTGTCCACACACACAGCCTGAGGGTGTCACTGACCACACGCACTGTGGG